TGATGACAAAACCTTGTTGAAACGTTGTACATTTGCTGTTATGTTAAACTTATATTAAAGTTTTTCTTCATTACCCATCCAAGCCGTCTCCAAGCATTATACATACGTTAGCTTGTTCTGAAAGTACTATTTTTACTTTTCTTGTAAGTTATATAAGTGTTTTTGTCAGAGTATTAGTTTATAGTTGAACTCTCTAAACTTATATTTTAAAGTTTCTAAATATAGTTTTATAAAACTTGTTATTACCTTTCAATGACTAAAGTAAAGAGGGTTGGGAACGTTATACTGAAACGACTTTGAATATGCAAATCAGCAAATCACGTGCCCAACACTGCCGATATAAAGTTGCGGTGGAACGGAACGTATCAAAACTACATTTGACTTTGTTTGGCGTTTCGTGTGTGTTGTAATGCCACCAAAGGTTGTTTGTGTTTGGAAAAGGGCGTGTAACAGTCCTTTCTAATGCAAAATATTCCTACATTCAGATTATAAAAATATGTTCAGGTCGGGGATTTAGAATTTAAAAGACATGGATATCCATTGTACTTGATAATGGAATTGGAAAACAAAGGAATGTGGATCAACTTGGGGTACCAGTACCATCCAGAAAGAGACCTCAAATAATTCGTACCGCAGTCATGGTAAGCAAAATGCGGCGTCTTGTGATAGCCGAGAATCTACAAACACAAACGTCAATGGTCAACCGTCCATGTGCTCCAGGCAACATAGCACACAACATAATCAAAACGGATCTCCGCCTGGAAAAGCGACACAAGCCGCTTTCACGACCGTCGCATCCCTCAAGTAGCTGGAGAATGAAATGAGTATTCATACTATTCCATATGAAGACATATCGGTTAAGTCGCTAGGCACAGCGCTTATTGATTTCTTTGTGAAGTAGGCACTGTGAAGCCGTTGCCCTCATATACTGAGTGACTTGTGGAAAGCAAGAAAGCAGCAGGTGTGTGCTTTGGACATGCCAGTCTTACCACTGATTCTTTGGCAATGGAAATTACGCTATAAGTCTCGTTCGTCAAATTGAGCGTGTCCGAACGTGGCGAGCCTACCAAATTGTTTCAATATAATGTGCTCAAATTCTATATATGTATATATTTATATATACACAGGCACAAGCAAGCTCCTTCTAGTCATACGAAGCTACATTTCAAACTTTAAAATGTAAGTTTAGATAATTTTAGCTCCACCCGCTTCAGTGGCTCAGGGATAAGCTTGCGGGCTTATTATGCTAACATTCGATCCCTGCATTAGACACAGTATAAATAGTTCAATGTGTAGATTTACGCTTAAAAACAAACCAAGATAATCTTATTATAAATTTCGATCTGTTTTTTTTTTCACCTGAAGATGACCAAAGTATGAATGGTCGAAAGCTAATAACAAGGCCCACATTTGGAACGTTAAAATGTTGTGTATGTTTATTATTTGAAGGTTTCTTTCTTTGGAGACACTTCCGTTCACGTTATATATATCTATATTTTATAAAGTTTTAGGTTCAAATTGTTTGAAAGGGTTTATTTCCGATATTTGAGCTTCCACAATAACTTACAGCTGTTTATTATACTGTAAGTATATTCTACTGACTTTTTCTCTCCAGTTTCACTACAGGAGTGTCCCAAAATATCTCTCTCTCCAGGTTTCTTTGGCATGGATAAACGTAACTTCAAAGTTTTCACATTATAACACAAACAACCTTTGTCGTGTGTGTGTGTGTGTGTACTGTAGAAATTTGTGTGGTAAAAAATAATTTCTTGTCATTTATGGTTAGTCTTTTGAACTTTTATTTATTTGTTAAGAACACTAAATTGAATGTTTCTATATCTTTACGAATCACTGAAATGTATTTTTCCAGGATCAGGGAGTAAAATGAAGACAAAAAGAAACATGTTTCTTAAGAAAAAAGAGAT